TGTCACTTTATCTCACTGATCCGGTAACTTTGTTAGAGCTTAGCTTAAGTTAATATGATTCCTCATTCGACATTTGGAACAGCAATTTATAAAAATTTGTACGGTAGATCCTTCCCACAACGTTGTCCCTTTTAAGGCTGGATAGGACTCAGGCATCAATTATTTCTAAGATTGGTCCAGCTGTCATTGTCCTGAAATATAAACTCTCTTGAAAATAGAGACAGATGAAGTCAAAAGAAGGGCTCGTCCGGGATTTGAACCCGGGACCTCTCGCACCCAAAGCGAGAATCATACCCCTAGACCAACGAGCCAGCTGGCAGAAGTTCTCTCCTTTGAGACATAAGCTGAACAACGTTGAAGCCAATAAGTTGTTTGTTTTGGCAGGCAGCACATAGTTTCAAGTGACAGGTGCTTAAGAACCCCAAGCTTGGTAAAAGCGATTTTTAACAATGATACTTCTGACAGGATTAAATGAATAAGGTAAAATGGCAATGTCCCTGGAACACGGCAACCGTCATAAATATGAACCAGCTGCCAACATTTAAATTTTGACCACATGATTGTGGGGATGCTGTAAAGGTCATAACTGTGAAAAATGATCATAATGGTCACTTTTTTCAGTGTAGTTGTAACTTTCAATGGTCCCTAAAATGGTCACTGTTGTAAGTCACGGACTACCTGCAATGGGGTTGGAAGGGACCTTGGAGGTCATCTAGTCCAACCCCCTGCTCAAGCAGGAGACGTTATACCATTCTGGACAAGAGGCTGTCCAGTATCCTCTTGAAAACCTCGGGTGATGGAGCAACTACAACTTTTATTTTTTTAAAAAAAATGTTTTATTGATTTTTTTAACATAATCACCTTAATATTTGGTAAACAGCACGTCTGGGTTTATATTTAAAAAACAATCAATAACAACTAGTTTCTATAATTCTATAGTCCACATAATAGCTTTGCTTGATGTTCTCTTCTTCCAATAATATTCTCTTTTGCCAACCTTGAATTAATACAATTCTTATTATTTGGATAAATAACAATTAAATATAGACATTTTTCTAATATTTCTGCAAATAATAACCACATTAATATAAAGCTTCTTTTCTAACTGATCATCTTGATTGCCTTGTCATAGATCCTGTTTTTTAAATTTGTTTTCTCCACAATATTCAAAACATTCTTACTGGTTAAGATTTTCTCAAAATTAATTACACTTAAAGTATTTAAGTCTTTTTTCCTCATACAGGCCATGCCAACACTTTTACATTTCTCATATCTTTTAAAAAAAGAGAGAGAAGAAAAAGAAATAAGAAGATAGCATACTACTTAACTTTTAGATGCACTGGTTCCACTGATTGATTATTCTCACTATTAGGAAGTTTCTCCTTAGTTCTAGGTTGCTTCTCTCCTTGATTAGTTTCCATCCGTTGCTTCTTTTCCTGCCTTCAGGTGCTTTGGAGAATAGATCAAACTCCTCATCTTTGTGACAACTCCTCAAATACTACAAGACTGCTGTCAGATTACTCCGAATTCTTCTCCTTGTTAGACTACTTTCCCTACATAAAGCATATTACATATATTGAAAAGGACATTTGAGTTCCTTTACCTTAGCCTGAAAATAAAATAATTCTATTGTTATATTTTTATTCTCCAAGGCAAGATGAGGTTTTAGAAAAGTGTTTGACATTCTTTTTCCTCCCCAATTTTATTTATAATACAATTAAAAGAAACATTGGATATAACGTGAAATTCCATTTTATACATTCTTATCAAATTATTTCACACTAGCTGTACCCGGCCACGCGTTGCTGTGGCTCAGTCTGGTTAAATGGAAAAGAAAGAAAAGAGAAAGTGCACATTTGTTATATGTTTAATTTCACAATGCTAGCGTGTGTTGCTTTTACGTCCAACAGATGACGCTGTTTTTCAAAAAAAGCATGTTTTTACCTGTCATAGGTGTGACATTTATATAATAGCAGGTATAAGATATAAAAACATGCGCGTATTTGAATGCAACGTTGTGTCAAAATTTCAAAGCAATCGGTGAAGAACTTTCGGAGATTTAAGATTTTGAACAAATGAACATTTACATTTTTATTTATATAGATTTTACAATCGGTTCTTCATCTCTGAATACACATCTAAATTTTATATACAATACTTAATCTATTTCTCTATTTGCTAACCTAAAATTACATATATTTCAATCTTAACGCTAGCCTATAATCCCAACCGTCCTCCTCGAATCTAAAACAATAAAATGTAGGCAGAGAGACAGAGACCCTTATTAAATTGTGTTCACTTTCATGCACAAAGCGAAGGTCGGCTGTCTTCTCTGGGGTGCTTTTCCTAAGTTTCAATCTAACCTAAAACCATGTGATTTCCTGGTGGTCTCCTATCCACGTACCAAAAGTGAAACCAAGTGTTCCGCTTTTTCCAAGCTGAATGAAAGTCGCTAGATGCGAACAATATGGAATAAAACAATGTCTCTCAACCTCAGCAACTTTACGTTGTGTGGACTCCAACACATCAAGTTGGGGAATTGTGGGAGCCGAACTGCATACATCGTAATGTTGCTGAGTTTGAGAAACACTAAATTAAAAAAAACTAAGAAATGGCAACTTTTGTCAACTAAAAGTCAGGCGTTTCATTCAAAGTTTTTTTTTTTCCTTTGATTTTTCCATATCGTAAAATCTTGCGGGCGTATTTTCTATTAGGCAAAACAAGGAATAAACATGTTATCTTTCCCGCACTTTTCTGAAGTTTCCAATTCTAAGTCAATGATTTAAAAAATAAATACTGTTGTTACAAATGTTTCAATACTTCTCGTTTACTACTATAACTACCCTTGTTCTTACAGTCACTGCAAACTCCTTACAACTGATTGTCCACGTCAATAAGGAAATTGGGTAAAGATAGGTATGGTTGACATTTAATTGTAGCAAGACAAAAAGTAAACTGGCAGAGCAAATTACTGACACGTCGAATTTTAGTTTTCAGAACCAACAGCGCCACCTTGTGTCTTGATAACGTCCTAACACTTTATAATACAAAAATGCATGTAGTGTTTATGATCTAAAGATGTTTCCCAAAAGGAACATCCATGAAGCGTTGGTGGTATAGTGGTGAGCATAGCTGCCTTCCAAGCAGTTGACCCGGGTTCGATTCCCGGCCAACGCAATTCGTTTTTCCTTTCCTTGTTTTCTAAAAGGACATTCGGGCAGAACCTCTTTTGCATTTATATATATATATATTAAGGACAGCAAAAAATGGCACATTTCCAAGCTGCCTGGATAGCAAAGCATTTAAAAAAAATCATTTACCAACTTTACTAATTGCTCTAAATGTTCCTACTGTTACAATTCCTAATGATTAAAGAAATATCTTGTAAGTGTAAAAAAATTGTCGGCAATTGTGGGCATAAACACAGGATCGATTGTTACTTCATTAGAGTAACTATCTACGATAAAAGAAACTGTATGGCCAAGTGTTAACTTTATTCTTTCATCTAGTAATTGTTCAGATTTTATTTACTCATTTTATTAATTCATTAGATGCACCACCACTTCAACAGCCTCTTGGCAGTTTACAAAATACAATCAATGCAATAAAACCCAAACATAACACCTAATTCCCACAGCACTGTCTTAGGCCCAAAAATATTAACCCATGTAGTAGGCTGTATTGCTATTATCCTTCTCATCTTCTCATCTTTTCATCTTTCCTACTACCTTCTCCTATTGGTATATTATGATTTATCACTTGTTTGTATCTGAGGATTAATGATTATAATTCTGATTTACGATCCATGACCTATCACTTTGTTGTTTGTATGTGCACTGAGAGCTAATGCACTTCAAATTCCTTGTGTGTCCAATCACACTTGGCCAATAAAGAATATTTTCCAAAGCGCCTGAAGGCAGGACAAGAAGCAACGGATGGAAATAAATCAAGGAGAGAAGCAACCTAGAACTAAGGAGAAACTTCCTGACAGAATAATTAACCAGTGGAAGAACCTGCCTCCAGAAGCTTTGAATGCTCCAACACTGGAGGTTTTTAAGAGACTGGACAGCTTTTTGTTCTGAATGGTATAGGGTTACCTGCCTAAGCAGGGGGTTGGACTTGATGACCTCCAAAGTCCCTTCCAACTTTATATTAATTATTATTATTATTATTATTATTATTGTTGTTGTTCTATTCTATTAATAAAATAGTACTGTGCAATACCTAGAGTGTGAAATACCCTATATATTTTTTCAGGACTTTCTAAAACGATGCCAGCACAGGCACAATTAGAAATTCAAGGCAGAGCCATTTTGATATCCGATGGGGAGAATGGCAGAGAAAACACTCATTGGGCTTTCGTAACTCTTTAACTTTTCAATCAATCAACTTTACTTACGGGCAAAAGGCCCTACAATCTGTACTTTTTAAGTTCCCATTCCCCACCCAGTGAAGATGACAAGTGAGCACTTTCTAAGAAAGCAGTTTTGAAACTCAGATATAAAAGGCTACTTATATATGGTTTAACTTTCATTAAAAGGGCTTCTCTGGGAAAAGTAGCTCTCACAAGTATCCCAAATGTGCTTTTTTAGGAGGCAACTAGACTGTTTTTCTTTGAAGACGTTTCACTTTTCATCCAAGAAGCTTCTTCAGCTGTGAGTGGATGGTGGGGAATGGAAGGATTTATACTCCTTGCAGACAGCTGGGAGGAATATAAATCCTTCTATTCCCATCATCCAATCAGAGCTGAGGAAGTTTCTTGGAGAAGCCAAACGTCTTCAATGAAAAACGAAGTCCAGTTGCCTCCTGAAAAAACATTTGGGACAACCACGACCTGGATGACTGAGACTCTACCTAGGCATTTACCTCCAACGAGCCTAAGGCGATCCAAAGAGAAACCTTGTTGAGCGGATTTCAGCTCTTTCCACGGAGAAAAGTGAGAGGGCTCTTAAAAGAGCCTTTGGGGGGGGTGTCAATCGGCCTGGAAGGGGGGGGGGTCCTCACGCCCTCTCCCCGCGGATGCGTCGGGCCAGCTGGATGTCCTTGGGCATGATGGTGACGCGCTTGGCGTGGATGGCGCACAGGTTGGTGTCCTCGAAGAGCCCCACCAGGTAGGCCTCGCTCGCCTCCTGCAGCGCCATCACGGCCGAGCTCTGGAAGCGCAGGTCGGTCTTGAAGTCCTGCGCGATCTCGCGCACCAGCCGCTGGAAGGGCAGCTTGCGGATCAGCAGCTCCGTCGACTTCTGGTAGCGGCGGATCTCGCGCAGGGCCACCGTGCCGGGCCGGTAGCGGTGAGGCTTCTTCACGCCGCCCGTGGCCGGCGCGCTCTTCCGCGCCGCCTTAGTGGCCAGCTGCTTGCGCGGCGCCTTCCCGCCGGTCGACTTGCGGGCCGTTTGCTTGGTGCGAGCCATCCCAGCGAAGGAGCGGAGCTTTGAGGAGTCGGGCGCGCTTCCTGGGAATTTATACCCGCGCCCTTTCTCCCCATTGGCTCTTTTCGAATTTGAATCTCGCGCCCAAATCTTGATTCGCTTGCCTTTTCCGGCCCCGGCCCCGCCCCCTTCCGGTTTCGACTTAGAATAGAATAGAACTGGAAGGGGCGTTGGAGTTCTTCTAGTCCAGCCCCCTGCTCAAGCAGGAGACCCTATACCAGGGTCTTTTATGACTCCTGGACTTCAACTCCCAGAATTCCTGAGCCAGCCATGCTGAGGGGAAAGGGAGAGGTTTCCATGCTGAGCCATGCTGGCTCAGGAATTCTGGGAGTTGAAGTCCACGAGTCATAAAAGAGCCAAGGTTGCCTACCCCTGCCCTAGACCATTTCAGACAAGTTACTACCAAGTCTCTTCTTAAAAACCTCTGTTCTACTAGTTAATTGTCCACACTGTTAGGAAGTTTCTCCTTAATTCCAGGTTGCTTCTCTCTTTGGTCAGTTTCCATCCATGGTTTCTTGTCCCGCCCTCTAGTGCTCTGGAGCAGTGGTTCTCAACCTGTGGGTCGGGACCCCATTTGGGGTTGATCGACCATTTCATGGGGGTCGCCAAGCAAGGCTGTCCGCCATTTTTTTCCCCTTTTCTGGCGGGTGCCTTACCTCCCTTGGGCTGGGCCACCTGGTGGTCGGCCTGCTCCGTCTCTGCTGCTTGCCAGCTACGCCTTGGCCGGCGCAGGGGGCGGAACCACGCATGCGCGGCGCTCCCGGGCAGGGAAAGTCCTCGACGTACGACCGGTTGGGTAGTCCTCGACTTGCGACCGGTTTAGTCCTCGACTTACGACCGGTTGGGGTCGCGGCATTAAAAAGGTTGAGAACCACTGCTCTGGAGAATAGTTTGACCCCCTCTTCTTGGTGGCCGCCCCTCAAATACTGGAATACTGCTATCATGTCTCCCCTATTTCTTTTCTTTAGACTAGTCCAGGTGTAGGCATCCTCGGCTCTTTTATGACTCGTGGACTTCAACTCCCAGAATTCCTGAGCCAGCCATGCTGAGGAGAAATGGAGAGGTTTCTAAGCTGAGCCATGCTGGCTCAGGAATTCTGGGAGCTGAAGTCCACGAGTCATAAAAGAGCCAAGGTTGCCTACCCCTGGACTAGCCAAACCCAAGTCCTGCCGCCGTTCTTCACTTGTTTTACTCTCCAGGCCTTTGATCGTCTTAGTTGCTCGTCAGTAGCTGCTTTTAATTGCGACTTTAATAGCTGCTTTTAATTGGAGTAACTGTTATTAATGCAACCTGGTTCCCTTTCGCCCCGCTTTCACATTCTCATGATCTGACCAGGAATGTTTTTTAGCCGTTTTAAATCATTTCAAGAAATTTGAGATATCTTATTCGCCAGTAAGCCGAGGAGGTCCTGATGTTGAGGCTTGAAAAGTGATACCAACAAGATATCCCGGGGGTTTTGACTATATCAGCAGTTGTTCAAATTTGGCAACTTTAACCCGTGTGGACTTCAACTCCCAGAATTCCCGAGCCATCTATACCACTTCTAATCGTGTGGTAGCGTGGCCGAGCGGTCTAAGGCGCTGGATTAAGGCTCCAGTCTCTTCGGAGGCGTGGGTTCGAATCCCACCGCTGCCAGCGTAGCTTTTCAAAAAGATTTTTTGTCCCCCGCTTTCAAACATCTGCAAAAAGCAAAGCGATTTTCATCTAAAATGTTTTTCTTCCGCGCTGAGGAAGCAGCGTTGAATGGCAACGATTCCTGTCTGCTTTCCTGCCCAAAAAGAAAAAGAAAAAGGAAAAAATGTTTGGAAATATGCATGTGTTTCTCCAGAAGCCAAATTTGGCTT